TCTCGGAGTCTAGCTATTTGTGCTAGTCCCTCCCTTTCCCTTTTGCGGAAGTCGGAAAGGTTTGCGGCCTGTCGTTGAGCGACTTCCCGCCATTGCTGTGCATCAGATCGAGTCAAAAGCAAATCTTCTTGCATGTTCTTGATCAACTGTGCCTGCCTTGCATGTTCGGCTTCAAGGTGTGCTATCTTTGCGTTGACTTCTTGGAGTTGACTACTCGGTTCAACCTTTGGCATTTTGGATGCCCGAGTAGTCTCCTCATTGAGGTTAGCACACTCATCCTTGAGCCGCTCTATCTCGTGGTCTTTCTTCTTGCATTGCCTTTGAAGACCATCAATGCGGAAACTGGATTCTTCATTTTTCTCTTCAAGAACTCTCATTTGAGCTCCTTGGATTTCCAGTTTCTTGGTCAAGGTGTTGACTTGTTCTTGCAACACCTTTCTTGTTGCTGTAGTTGCACAAGAAGTGGAAGGCTGTGACACCCCCCTCTCGCTCCTCCATTTCTCATAATCAATGGAGACGGATACCCGAGGCTTTTCAAGCTCGAGATCTCCCTCATAGGTTGCTTTCTCCCACGCTCTTATGATAGCGTGCACGTCCCTCTGATGCTCGGAATCAAAGCCGAAACACAACCCTCCAAGCTCCTCTTTAGTAGGAACAATTTGAGCCCTCATTAGTTGTCTCATAACCAATCTGGGTGAGTAGGCTATGCAACCGCTGAGGCCTATCAATGGTATGCTTGGATAACTGCCGCATCTCATCAACACATGGCTCGGATGGAACCAAGGGCAAACCCATGTAAAGTGGTCAATACTCCACTGTTCCATCTCTTCCTTCCACTCGGAAGCATATCGGCGGCGTACGGGGATCTTGGAGAAACTCCTCAATGGATCGGGCAAGGTCCCCATATGACTAGAGGCATAGAAATGAGTAATGCCCCACACATACAGCAAGGAGGTGCAGCATCGGATGATTTTTCCTTGCTTCTGTTGTGATAGATGAACAGACAGCAAGGTGTCGGCAAGAATGGCAGGCACGGGACTCTTCATGTGCACGTCCCAAGCGAAGAAAGCGTCCATTGCAGCATGGTCCACTGTGTTAGCGTAAAAGGGGAAAAGGATCATCCCAAATACAGCTAACGCTAGAGTCTTGTTGAAAGCTAACCAATCTCCCTCACCAGCCAAGGAAGAAAGGTGGTCTTCAATCATAGCAAGCTTCCAACCTTT